TGATCAGGATTGATTGCAATAAGAGGCTGGTGGGAAAAACAATAATTGAACAATGGGCCACCTTTAAGGAGCAGATGGTTTGTGTACAGTTTAGGATTATCCCCTCAAATGGAAAGCTAGGTCAAACAACCAGAACTCCCTGGATGACAAAGTAGATAGCAATTAACATTAGAAAGAAAAAGTGCCAATGACAGGTATAAGGCAGAAAATACAATTGAGAACCATACAAATAAAGAAGGCTTAGGGGGAGAGATGAAAAGCAAATAACAGAAGCAAAGAGGAATCATGAGAAAAGATTAGCAGCTAACATAAAAGGGAATGCCAAAGTCTTCTATAGGCATATAAAGCGTAAGGGAATGTCTAAAGGAGGAGTAAGACCAATCAGAAACCAAAAAGGAGATTTACACATCGAGGCACAATTACACATGGGTCATGGCTGAGATGTTACATGAATACTTTGCATTACAGAAGTGGAGGATGCTGCCCAGGCCACAGTGACAGAGGAAGAAACTCACACTAGAAGGGTTCAACATTAATCAGGAAGAAGTCTTGGATAGATTGTTGGCACTTAAGGTTGTCATGGCATAGGAACTGGACAAGTTACTTCCAAGGATTTTTTTAAAAAGTGAAGATAGAAATTGTGGGGACACTGGCCACAATCTTTCAGTCTTCCCTGGACTCAGGGGAGGTGCTAGAAGACCGGAAAATCATGAAGAATCCAAGCTTGTTCAGAAAAGATTGTCAGGATAATTCTGGCAATTACAGACCAACAATTTAACTTCAGTAGTGGGGAACATCTAGAAATAATTATTCGGGATAGAATTACTAGTCACATGGAAAAAAGTAGGTTGATTAGGAAGAGTCAGCAGGGATTCTGATGGGGAAGTTGTGTTTAACTAACTTTCTGGAGTTTTTTTGAAAAGTTAACACAAAAATTTGATGAGCGTAACACTGTTGATGTGGTATACACAGTTCTCCAGAAGACATTTGATACAGTGCCACACAATAGATTTGACAGGAAAGTATAGGTCTTGGTATGAAAAGGGACAATAGCAACATGGATACAAAATTAGCTAAGTGATAGGAAACAAAGAGACTGATCAACGGATATTTTTTGGGCTGGAGAAAGGTTTATAGTGGAGTTCCCCAGGGGACGCTTACTTTTCCTGATAAATATTAATGATCTAGATTTTGATGTGGAGGGGACAATTTCCAAGTTTTCAGATGACATAAAACTTGGATGAATTTTAAATTGTGAGGAAGACATTGATAGTTGGTGGAATGAGGGGCAGGTGACTAATACAGAGAAGTGTGAAGTGAAGCACTTGGTCAGAAGAACATTGAAAGACAATATAATAGAGGTGGTTCATGATGTCAAGTGCTGGTAGCAGTTCATGAACAAGCAGGATACAGGTAATGGGAAAAAAACGAATCCACTGAGCAGACAGCGGAGCTGCTGGTACAGGATGGCTAATATTGATGACTACCATTGCAATTGTGACAGACATATTGTGAGAGAGTGGCACAATGGCTCAGTGGTTAGCATTGCTGCCTCACAGTGCCAGGGATACAGCCTTGGGCGACTGTGTAGAGTTTGCATGTTCTCCCCTGCTTGGGTTTCCTTCGGGTGCTCCAGTTTCCTCCCACAGTCCAAAGATGTGCAGGCTAAGTGGATTGGCCATGCTAAATTGCCCGTAGTGTCCAGGGATGTGCAGGCTAGGTGGATTAGCCATGGAAAATGCAGGGTCACATGGATAGGGTAGGGGGTGGTCTGGGTGGGATGCTCTTCAGAGGGGCGGTGTGGACTCGATGAGCCGAATAGCCTGCTTCCATACTGTAGGGATTCTATGATTCTATATATACTTCGGCCAAATCAGGGTAGTGATGTCATTGCAAGGGCTTGGTCCCTGGTTTCCACATACTGGTGGTCATTTTAATGCATTTTACAATCCTTGACTTCAGTAATAACAGAACTGAACACTTTCTTGTACTCATGGATATCTACAACAAGTTCACACAGACTATTCCCACCCATGACCAAAAGGACTTAATTATAGCCAGTGTTAGTGTATGATTGTTTTGTCTGTTTTAGTGTTCTATGTTGGATACACAGTGACCAGGGGCTCAACTTTGAAGACAAGATCTTACAGGAGTTCTGCAAGGCCTATGGCACTGTCACCCTCGGAAAATAGTACAATGGAGTGTTGCTTGAAGCCTGAAGTCTGTTGGATGAGGTGGAGGCAAACAGCAGTGTTGCAGGACCTGAAATGTCTGCGCATGATGACTCGAGTGGAGTCAGATAGCGATGCAGAATCCTGGTGTGACCTGAGTGTTGTGATCCTGTGTGGATAGACCTATTTCTCCCCTGGAAAACAACTCGGGGGGACCTGCAGGATGCAGAAATCGAAGCAACAAGTACCCCCAGTCATACGATTCCTGGAATCCTAAGTGACATAATTCCCAACACTAGTCATCTGCCATAGAGCCTGGATCCCTTGGAAGATACCAGTACAAATAAGAGGCCGAGAACATATTCTAAGGTAAATGTTGACTATCAACCCAACCCTGACTAGTTTTTAAAAATTAATTCATGAGAATGTGGGCATTGCTGGCTGGGCAGCATTTATTGTACATCCCTAGTTGCCTCGATGAGAAGTTGCTGTCTTGAACTGCTGCAGTCCATATGCTGTAGATAGACCCACAAACCTATTAGGGAGGGAATTCCAGGATTTTGCCCTATCAACACTGAAGAAACATCAATATATTTCCAAGTCAGGATGGTGAGTAGCTTTGCAGGAGGTAATGTTCCCATGTACCTGCTGCCTTTGGTCTTCTCAGTTGTAGTAGTCGTGGATTTGGTAAGTGTAAGAAGTCTTGATGAATTTCTGCAGAATATCTTGTGGCGTACATTGTTGTACTAATTGGTGGTGCTGGAGAGAGTGAATGCTTGTGGATATGGTGTCAATCAAGCAAGTGACTTTGTCCTGGATGCTGTCAAGCATCTTGAGTGTTGTTGGAGCTGCACCCATCCGGGCAAATGAGGAGTATTCCATCACACTCCTAACTTGTGCCTTGCAGATGGTGGACAGGCTTTAGGAAGTCAGGAGCTAAGTTATTTGCTGCAGGATTCCTAACCTCTGACCATTCTTGTAGCCACTATATTTATGTGGCTAGTCCAGTTCAGTTTCTGGTTAATGGTAACCACCTGAACCTTCTCACACTCCCTCTCCTCTTTGCTTAAAATGCAATCTACAACAATGTCAGGAAACTGGTTGTAGCCCAATTTAGGTGGAATCTGTGACTATTGAATGTTTCTTCTTCATCTTCAAAGGACATATCTTTAAACCTTGCACAAGGCAGGCAACACAACCTTTGGGAATCCAGATCTCAGCTCTAAAGAAAGTATTTACTCTACTAGCATTATCACATTATCAGTAGTTCAGCAGTTTGTCCATGCTCCCTGCAGTGTTCATTATTATCCATAGAAAGCACTTTGTATGCATTGGACAAGATCAAAGGATGAAACTCCTCTTTCAATGCATCCTGGATACCCATACCTGCCTCACTCACTGTTACATCCTCCAGCT